ACATAAACAAATAATAGCAATAGCTACAACAGGAATATATAATAGCAACAGTTACACAAGAAACATATAATTGCAATAGCTACAACATCAACATATATTAGCAATAGCTACAACAAGAACATATAATAGCAATAGCTACGACAAGAAAATATACTAGCAATAGTTATGGCTGCAACAAGAATATATAATAGCAACAGTTATACCAAAAACATATAATAGCAATAGCTACAACATGAACATATAATATCAATACCTATATCCAGAACTTATAATAGCAATAGCCACAACAAGAACATATAATAGCAATAGCTATAAAAGGAACACAAAATAGCAATAGTCATAACAAGAACATATAGTAGCAATAGCCACAACAAGATCATATAATAGCAATAAAATAACTACAGCAAGAATGTAAAATAGCAATAGCCACAACTAGAACCTATAATAGCAATAGCCATAACAGGAACATATAATAGCAATAGCTACAACACGAACATATATTAGCAATAGCCACCACAAGATTATATAATGGCAATAGATACAACCAGAACATATAATAGCAATAGCTACAACAAGAACATATAATGGCAACAGCTACATCAGTAACATTAATAGCAATAGCTACAACATAAACATATAATAGCAATAACTACAATAAGAACATATAATGGCAACAGCTACAACAGGAACAAATGAACATATATTAGCAATAGCTACAACAAGAACTTATAATAGCAATAGCTACAACAAGAATATATAATGTCAATAGTGCTATATAAAGAACATATAATAGCAATAGCCACAACAAGAACATATACTAGCAATAACTACAACAGGAACATATAATAGCAATAGCCACAACATGATCCTATAATAGCAATAGCCACAACATGAACTTATAATGCAATAGCTACAACAAGAGTATATAGTGTCAATAGTCACAACAAGGACTTATAATAGCAATAGCTACAACATAAAACATATAATAGCAATAGCCACAACAAGAACTTATGATAGCAATAACCACAACAAGAACACATAATGTCAATCGCCACTAAAAGGACTTATAATAGCAATAGCTGACTACAACAAGAACATATAATAGCAATAGCTGACTACAACAAGAACATATAGCAATAGCTACAACAAGATCATATACAAGCAATAGCTACAACAAGATCATTTAATAGCAATAAACACAACAAGAACATATACTAGTAATAGCTACAACAGGAACATATAATAGCAATAGCCACAACAAGAACTTATAGTAGCAATAGCTACAACAAAAACATAAAATAGCAATAAGTATGGCTGCAACAAGAATATATAATATCGATAGCTATATCTAGAACTTATAATAGCAATAGCCACAACAAGAACATAAAATAGCAATAGTAGCAAAAATATCATTTAATAGCAATAACCACAACAAGAACATATAATAGCAATAGACACAATAACAACATATAGTAGCAATAGCCTCAACAAGGTCATAAAATAGCAATACAATAACCACAGTGAGAATGTATATTAGCAACAGCCACAACAACCCTTATTTACATAGTTCATTTTATTGAAACGCGAGCTTGAATGTGTGTTATGTTGTCTTGTGTAGTAGACGCATCCCTTATTTACATTGTTCGTTTTATTGTTATGCGAGCTTGAATGTGTATTATATTGTCTCGTGTAGTAGACGCATCCCTTATTCACATAGTTCATTTTATTGAAACGTGAGCTTGAATGTGTGTTATGTTGTCTTGTGTAGTAGACGCATCACTTATTTGCATAGTTCATTTCATTAGAACGTGAGAACGTGAGCTTGAATGTGCGTTATAATATCTTAAATAGTAGACACAACCTTTATTTGCATAGTTCATTCTTTTGGAACGTGATCTTGAATGTGCGTTATTTGGTCTTGTGTAGTAGACGTATCCCTTATTTACATAGTTATTTTTATTGGAACGCGAGCTTTAACGTGCGTTATATTGTCTTGTGTAGTAGACGTATCCCTTATTTACATAGTTCATTTTGTTGGAACGATTCTTTAATGTGTGTTATATTGACTTGTGTAGTAGAAGCATCCCTTATTTGCATAGTTCATTTTATTAGAACGAGAGAACTTGAGCTTGAATGTGCGTTATATTGTTTTGTGTAGTATACGTATCCCTTATTTAAATAGTTCATTTTATTGAAGCGTTAGCTTGAGTGTGTGTTGTACTGTCCTGTGTAGTAGACGTATCCCTTATTTACATAGTTCATTTTATTGGAACGTGAGCTTGAATGTGTGTTATATTGATTTGTGTAGTAGACGCATCCCTTATTTGCATAGTTCATTTTAATGGAACGTGAGTTTGAATGTGCGTTATATTGTTTTGTGTAGTAGACGCATCTCTTATATGCATAGTTCATTTTATTAGAACGAGAGAACTTGATCTTGAATGTGCGTTATATTGTCTTGTGTAGTAGACGCATAACTTATTTGCATGGTTCATTTTATTGGAACGTGAGTTTGAATGTGCGTTATATTGTTTTGTGTAGTAGACGCATCTCTTATATGCATAGTTCATTTTATTTGAACGAGAGAACTTGAGATTGAATGTGCGTTATATTGTCTTGTGTAGTAGACGCATAACTTATTTGCATGGTTCATTTTATTGGAACGTGAGCTTGAATGTGTGTTGTTCTGTCTTGTGTAGTAGACGTATCCCCTATTTACATAGTTCACTTTATTGGAACGCGAGATTGAATGTGCGTTATATTGACTTGTGTAGTAGAAGCATCCCTTATTTGCATAGTTCATTTTATTAGAATGAGAGAACTTGAGCTTGAATGTGCGTTATATTGTCTTGTGTAGTAGACGCATCCCTTATTTCAGTAGATTATTTTATTGAAACGTGAGCTTGAATGTGTGCTGTGTTGTCTTGTGTAGTAAACGCATCCCTTATTTACATAGTTCATTTTATTGAAACGTGACCTTTTATGTGTGTTATATTGACTTGTGTAGTAGACGCATCCCTTATTTGCATAGTTCATTTTATTAGAACGTGAGAACTTGAGCTTGAATGTGTGTTATATTGTCTTTTGTAGTAGACGCATCCCTTATTTACATAGTTCATTTTGTTGGAACGTGATCTTGAATGTGTGTTATATTGCCTTGTGTAGTAGACGCATCCCTTATTTTACATAGTTCATTTTATTGAAACGTGAGCTTGAATGTGCGTTGTACTGTCCTGTGTAGTAGACGTAT